AGGGGCCGCCCGTTTCCACATCCCCAGCTGCCCAGCCGCCGCCACGCTGCCACACACAGGTCACATACCTCAATCTCAAAGCCATATGTGAATAAAAGAATAAAGCAGATGGCTTTCTTTATAGTTATTGTATTATTATTTTTTTTTTGTACAGCAGACTAGCTTGGGCATCCCTCTTGAACTGCAAAAAAAAATCAGCCTTAAAAAAAAAAGAGGCCAGCGCTCAAGGTCACAGCTACCCTCACCCTTCCCCAAAAAATCATTTTTGTGAGCATCCCAGCCAGGCAGCTGGGGACCCTGCGAGGCAGAGGATGCTGCACGCATGATCAGTGCTGTGCCCACCCTGCTCCACAGCCCCCAGGAACCCCGCCAAGCCGCTCCCGCAATAACCGAGCCCTTACTGCTGACAAGTCATTGCACCTCCCCACCGTGCTGCGGGCACCGGCAGTTCAGCAGCGAGCGCTTACTCTGCATGACGAGAGGGAAAAGCCTGCTGGATAAATACTGCACTGTGTTTCCTACCGCAACTGCTTGTCTTCCTTTGGTGGCTGTTAGGATACGTGCCGCATATGGCACACTCATTCCTAGTTGTAAATAATAACAGAATGTATTTAGTTGCCTGTTAAAATAAACACGTAATCCCCTGCAAAGGCTCTTCCAAACCTCAGACATCCCAATATCTCACGCTGCTCTTCCCTCCCCCTGCTGTGCCTTGCCTGGAGCCGCCAGCCCCACGGCACCGAGACGCTGCAGCCAGTGCCTCGCTTGCTGCCTACGACTTTCCCACCCAACTCCAGACTACTTTTAACCTCAGGACCTGCTGGTCCAGCCCCCTCTGCACCCCTCGTCCCGCACAGCCAGCGGTAGTTGCCCGCTGAATGCCCTCCCTTCGGCAACGCGGCAGTGCCAAGGCCCACCTCCCAGCACGGCCGGGGCTCCTCCGGTGCCAGCTGTTGTGAAAGCACACGGCAAACACCCCAACCTTTTTTGTTTTTGTTTCTGTTTCTTTCTAAATAGTCATAGTTTGAGTCTACACAACACTGTGACACAGGGCTGGTTTATGCACACTGGTTTGTACACACCGGTCCGTGCTGAACCCTTTCATCTACAGCTAGTTTACTGGGTCCATTTTTCTTAAAGCTTCTCCTTCCCCAGACCTTTCCCTTCCAGAGAAGTGCACCTGATACATCCATAAGAGTGTGTGGCCAGCAAGAACGTGTGCTTGTCCTAGCTAGCTGGGTCTTGAACCCCATGGGTGGCCGTCCAGTCTTGGGGTAGATGTGCCAAAAAAGAAGAAGATTAAAATGCACGTAGTTTGCTGTAAAAGCAGTAGGTACGAGCGGGATGGTGGCCGTCTGACTTCGCTCACCTTTCCTCACCAAATTACAAGCTCGTTTTGGGGTCTACCCGCAGCAGAAGCCCAAGGGCTGGCCTGCTCCCCTCCCAAACGCTGCCTGCAGCTTCTCAGGTGAAAGATGGTCCCTCCGTGTTGCTCAGCACCTCTCCTGATCCCTTCTGCTATCGCACTGAATCCGATTAACTTTTACTTCACAACTCTCCCCACAGTCTATTAGAAACAAACCAACAGCTCTTGAGCAACACCTAATTGGATTCCCCCAGCTCTGACCGCATTAGCTGTCTGTCCAAGGCCCCTCCGACTCACTTATTATTACCTCAGGCCTTGACGAACCCAGGGAAAATTGTATTACGCAGCACAGGCATAAAACCCGTCAGGACTTTGAAGTACCCCCCCAGCAAAGCTGAGGCAGGCGTTGAGATCAGATAGTACCGGGGAGGGAAACAGAGCGTGCCATTGGCAGTGATGGAAGTCACTGCGCTGAAAAACACCGACGTCTCCCAGCCGGGGTATGTGGGTTTAAATCGCAGTAATTCCCAGGCGGAGCTGAGGAGACAAAAGTATATACAGTACCAGGATGATTCTGCTTAGAGTCAGGCTTTGAACTTGTTTTGCTGCAAAGAGGCATTTGGGAAATTGCACTGGCTATGATTAAAGGGAAAAAAAAACCCACCTTTTAATAACCTCCATTCTTACCTGTGCAGTTGGAGCTACGTATTTCATGAGTGCATCTATTATAGATACCATCTGTATAAATATACAGGCATTTATAAAGAGAAATAGCAAGTATGGTTATCTATCTGCTCATCTGTATGTAGTGAGTGTGTGTGTGTGTGCACACCAGCATTATGCAGTGAGAGTAACGTTATATAGAGACAGCAACAGCTTTGGTTTTTTTGGTTGTGAATTCCCAACACAAAAAGCTGCACGCGAAGAGGTGTAATAAAGCAGTACAAAAGCAGGCAGTGATTAACAGCCCAGAAGCTTCTTTTATCATTATCAACTATTTACAAAGAAGCATTTATATGTTTCCCCATCTCTGGGGAGCTGGCACTTAGCATTAAAAATACATGAATAACGAATGAAGCCCTGTGTACCTTCTGGCCTTTTAATAATGCAAAAATCTTAGGATTCGGGATATGATACAGGTAAACAAAGGAAAAAAGACTAGTGGGCAGAAAAGAGTGTGAGAGCCCTACGCAAAGGACAATTTATAGCGCGTGGGGGGGTTAAACTGTAAAACAGCAGTTTGTTGTCAAGCTCTTCTTTCAATTGCAAAAATAACCCAGGGAGCAGGAATCCAGGAGGAGAGGGTCTGGGCACTGCTGCGACTGCAGTCCTGGGAGAGGGGCAGCGAGCGAGAGCGCAGCACCCACCTTGAGGGCATCCTGCGTGTCATCGAGGCAGTACACCCGGATGCTGTACTCCAGCGAAGAGCAGGACAGCGGTCCAAAGATGGCCAGTTTGAGACGTTTGGCTGCTGCTTTGGTGACTGACTGTCCCACCAAGGCGTAGGTGCTGAGGGTTTCTGTCAGGATATGGCAGGCCTCTGGGTCCAGCTGGATATAGCACGGAGTGGTGAAGTTTTCTTCCCCGACCACCACCACGTCCTAAGGGAGAAAGAGGCCAAGTTAGAGCTCCCAACCTCTCAGAGCTGCTCTCCTTTGAAACAGCAACGTTCCTTTCAAGCCTGGATGAAGTACAAAGTCCTTGCTGTTTGCACCTTAGATTAATTAAGATTTAAAATTCCTGCTTCTAGCTTTTCTCCTGTGTAGGCATGGCGAGGGGATGATTTCTCCAGGGTGCTGGTGGTGATGATGGTGGTAGAAACCTCCTCCTGTCCTCACTCCCCTAAAGCTCTTACACTTTCCTCTGGGTCCTGTAGCAGCTTTTAAAGCCCTGGGCAGAGTTAGGCAAACAAAGAAAATATCACCAATACTTTATTGAAAAAGATACTGCAGAACTAATCATTCAGTGGCCGTGATTTAACATCAATAGTTGCAGCTGCATTGAATAAATAACTGCCCTTCACTTCCTAAGCATGACAATACGGAGTTATAAAAACGCAAGGAAGGGAATGTGATGGTCAAATGCCACATGTACACATAATATCACCTGCTGCTTCGTCAGAATAATCCTCCCTGATGAGGCTGCAGGGTGAAGAAAAACAAATACATACAGCCCAAACGCAGACAACCTCCCCGTCCTGTGTGTAAAGCAAAACAGTGCCCCTGCTAATTTCTCCATTCAACCCTGTGTGTAATAGCCTGCATGCAGCACAAGGTGTTTTGAATGACTTTGAGAGAGACCAGAAGCAAAAAGGCAGCTGCGGATGACGGCCGCCTCTTGCAAAGCCACCAGGTACCACATGATGCTCGGCACAACTCATCTGTTTCATCCCCGCTGCCCGCAGGTCTACAGCACAACGTACACATCTGGCAGCTGAGCAGCGTGGGCTCAACTGAAATTTGGTGTTAAACTCAGGCCCTCTAGTCTCAGGAAAGGCAAACGTGCCTTGTTTGCAGGGGTGGCATAACCCTTCTGGAGGGCAAGGTCCTGCAGCCCTGATTGCACCCTCCTACGGCCATGCCAGCAACTGGCTCTAGAAGAAGGCGCTGGCCCGGAGCGATGCTGCAAGGGTGTGCATGCATGTGTGTGTGTGCATGCACACGTGTGTGTGTGCACGTGTGGGGCTCAGCTTGGAGGAGCTGCTCCAGAATTGCGTGGAGGAAGAAGATCGCTGTGCGATGGCCAGGGACCCTGTGGATGCTGTGGAGGCTACGCTGGCACCGGAGCGAGTGCACGGCTGGTGGAGCAACCGCTCTGTCAAGGGCAGGAGGAGGACAGGGGAGAAAATGAAGAGGTGCCAGTAACACACAGACACAAATAAGGAACATATGTGCGGTGCCAAGAGTCAGGCTGGTGGGGTGCAGATTAGTTGGCGAGACAGACCCGTGTTCGCTGCACGCTCCCTCCCAGCGTGAGGAAGAGTCAGTGCCATGGGCAGGGGAAAAATGCAAGAGCCTTTCAAAGGCAATGCTGGACACGGTACTCTTGTTACTGTCAGCCCAACTGCCTTCAAAAGCCACCCTGACCTTATTAAACCTACCGGTAGGATAAAGCACCCTTGCCAAATTAATTATGTGAGACCAAACTGGTGGCAGCAGGTACCTAGGAGCACAGGGTTGGAAAGGAGAGCTCTCCCAGGATGGCCCAGCCTTGCCAAAAGCATCACTTCACGCTCCAGTTAGAGTGGAAGATCCTTCTGCCACCCTGCCCCGGGACATCCTCCTGCTGCACTACTGGCAAGGAACCCCCCCAGGCTCCCACCGAGCCTGCACTGCCCAGCAACACTTGTGCAGCTCCTCTGAGTTCACAGGGTGCAGAGTTGGGTCCTGGCTGCACGATTTGAATCAAAGTGATGCTCTACCAACATCTTCGGTGGGAAAAAGAAAAGGATGATAAGGCCTATA